CCTCCTCACTAACTTAGTGCTAGTTCGCAGTTCTCCTGTTCCCGTATGCTACTATAACTTCTCAACTTCCAGTGGATCCACTGTAACTTCAAGTGAATCCAACCAATCGCACTCCTTTGGGAATCCCACGAAATGATTGATGTTTCGGCCGTCAAATGTCACCGATTGGTCCAATCGGTGACCGGGTCTGTCTAAACCCCAGCCAGTTCGAATGAACTAACTTCTCCATAAACAAACAAAAGTACTCTTTGAGTGAGTTACTGAGCGAGGAGGAATGTTCCATCCGGGAACTTTATGTTCGTGATCGTTGATCGAGTGTGCGNTGATTACGAATCAACGAACCCGGAGTGAATTGACCTCCGTCGGTCGGGTAAGGAAGCGAATCACGTCAAGATGGATCGATAAATCGGTCACCATGCCCGGCATGGTGAAAATTCCCACAATGTGACAATGTGAGGTTACAGTGGATCCACTGGAAGTTACGGCGGATGCACTTAAAGTTGAAAAGGTATAGTCTTACTGTAAAATGTCGTGTTTTCTTTGCACTCGTGCTGTTCACTTGTGGTATAGTGATGTGCGACATATTAGTATGCAACGGACATAAGCCGCGTAAAACATAAATTGACGACATAACAGGCTTGTTTTATACGAGTCATTCAATCAGTATACGCTGACGGTAGCGGAATTATCAGTAGTGCTCAATTGTTTCCAGCAGTCACACTCTCCATGAATATCTGCTTTTACTGATACCACAACAATATGAATGAAACAGCTTGTTGTGTGCCACTTTCCGTGGTAATCAACTTGAAGTAGTTGACAACTTTAATTATCTCGAGAACCTGATCGCAGTTGGTGTTGGGGAGGAGATCACATCATGAATAGCGAAAGCTAAAGCGGATTTCGTCAACCCGCAGCACGTGTGGCGCCGCTATGACATCCGGCTGCCCCTTAAGGGAAGGGTGTACATTGCCGCGGCTCACAGAGTTCTACTTTATGGTTACGGGACCTGGCCTCTCCGGGTGGAATATGCTAATCGACGTTCTGTATTGGACCACCGATGTCTCCGAAGCATTGCTCGTGTCTGGTGGTAAAATCAGATGAGCAATGACGAGGTGAGATGTTGTATGTTGGGTGTGGATAGTCGCTCTCTAACAGAAGTAATCGCTCTGCATCGCCTCCGATGGCTTTATCACGTGTTGCATATGCCTGCCCATCAAATCCTTTTCCGTGCTCTCCTCGCACGTGCCGGCAAGGCTATAAGAAGCGCCGTGGTGGTCAGACTACGACATGGCGTAGAGATGTGAAGAAGCCGGCTTTAGCTTCGGTTGGTGCAGTCCGACTTCCAGGTTGGGGACCAAGGTATGGGGATTGTTATTGGTTAGAGACATTGAGAGATATGGCCCTGAATAGAAGTCAGTGGCGCGAGGGCTGTGTGGTCTGCTTGTTGAAATCCCCTACCCCGTAAAAAATCGACAGCCTAAAACAAAAATATCAAAGTGTAGGTGAAATACAAGAATTTGTCATTCTAGTTATTTACCATTTACCATTTTAACTTTCCCACCTTTCTTTCACTCCGTTCTGTATCCCAATCCACCCACCCCGTGTTATTGTTATTAGTATTATTGTTGTGGCTTTGGCACCATGCTTGTCGGCCGGCTTGCAGCGTACGATGAATTAATTTCTACGTATGCCGCCACTAACTACTAAAATTAGACCAGTAGAACGTACCGCAATTCGATATTATCTGCAAACACCGAATGAGCTGCTACTGAAAATGCGGTGAGTTCAGTCTCAATGCCGTCAGTCATTGTACGTAGACAGAGATGGTTGTACGTATTTTTTTCATGCAGTATAGACCTTGAACCAACCACCAAGCCATCCTTGTGATACCGGTGTAAGACGCATAACCCTCTATGTCCGGAGTCGAAGTGTCATAAATTCGTTGAATGCGCACTGCTGACAATTCCAATCACGGATTAATGAATCTTTCCCCAGTTCTTATCAGTTTTCTGCCTTCTTGCGTCACATTGAGCTGACCAGTCTCTCGCCCTCTCCGAAACTAACTCGTTTCTGTCTCTAGTCTTTTGGAACTCTTCAACAACACTGACAAATCGATCGACCGCGTCTCGGTTGGATTAGTTTTCATATCCGCTGTCAAACCTTTTTTAGTCTTATACCATCTGTCAGTCGTGATGGTCAACCTGATTTGTGAAGCCTAATGTTTCGAACAACCACATTTTGTGAAATCTACCAAAAACATATATTTCCTGTATGAGGGAAAGAGTTATGCAAGAAACAGTGATGGTTGATTCCCGTGAGGTACAGTTACAGAAATGCTCACTGACCCGTTCGAACTGAGCTTAAATCGCTGTAGCTCGTCACCAAATCTCCGTTTTTTCAGTTCCAATTGGGACTTGCTGTTATCCAGTCCGGGAATAATGGTAAGGGCCATGGTGGGATTGGCTTGTGGATAAATAGTTCCATCTGCAGTAATGGCAAAACGTTGCAAATCCTCTTTCCGCGAACGACGCTTTTGTGCTCTGATTTTTGCGAACCGAAAATGAGAAACTCGTATGATAAATGTCAGTTGATAAACAATGTCTGTTATTAGTCACTCCATGTGCTGAAAAACTCATTTGATATCATTCTATTGATTTCATCCCCATGTTTCATGGCCTTTGAGGAAAAATGCACCAATCAAATAGTAAACTAAACAATGGGTTTTGTAATATTCGGTTGATTTTTAAATTCTACTATGTACTAGACTAATTCATGTTATGAGAACACAAAATAGCAAACACGCTCGTTTTCAGTGCTACCTCAACTGGCTAAATACAGCATAATTTATAACATGCTTTCCGTCCTTTCTGTACAGTCAAGGATAGGTTATCCAAAGAGGTCAAGTTCAGAATTTGGTCAACAGCGGAGGCGATTGCCATCCGTCTCCACACCCCGCCCCTTGTGCGCCCAGAAACAGTTTGTTAGAACATTGGTCTTACAGTGGCCATCCACTAACAATCTGTTGACGTAACCTCCAATTATGATCAATCACCAGTTCACCTACCCATTCATTCACAACCACTCTCTGTCTGTCACTTTCCACGCACACACAGATATATACACTCACGAACATCAGTTATCACAAGTCCATCATCTTCCACTAAACTCTGACTCTTGTCTCCTTTCCCCATCTGTTTTAATCTGTTATAAATTGTGCTGTATTTAGCCAGTTGAGGTTGCACCGAAAACGGGACTGTTTGCTATTTTGTGTTCTCATAACTACTCAAACGGGAATAATTTCACATTTAATTTATGTTACTTGGAATTAAACAAAAAGTATGATAAGACTCATTCAAGCCAAGTCAAGAGTGCACTTTATTCATCCCATGTGGACAGAATTTTCAGTGAAAAGAATGTTATCGCTTTTGCTTTGGCATTGCACGCTATTAACAATGAGCTTGAAGATGTGACAAATAGTTACTAAGATGACAATGAATCGGACACCGAGAACGCGTAAAATAATGAAGAAAATGTCAACGTGGAAATTTACATTAGACTGTGTATAAGTTCGTCTGTATAAGTTAGTTGAATATTGTGTTTTTCATGTTGAACTCTGACCAATGAACAGCAAATCTTACCTTGGCTTTGCTTCATGGGAGATCAGTGAAACTAAACCAATTTTCCAGTGGGTAAGTGCATGAGTGTGAAATCTACATTCCATTGGAGAACAGAGATTTATAAACGTTGTTGGATTATCTGGTTAGCATACACACACAAGGCGGTGGCAATTTTTGATATTGATTTCACACACTGTCTTCACATTTCTAATGCTGGAGGTAGACAGCTACAGGCCGCAGCATACACGCCACAGGTGCACACAGATCGCTGATTATTCGTCCAGACTGGATCATCTTTGATGCTGTTACGGCATCATTCGCTCACACATCAAAAGTGCTGATCGAGTGCCTCGCTGGTTCTGCCATTCCTGCTTTGTAGTTCTGGCAACAGGGGTGCACTGCGCACCCAAACATAAAGATGCCATTTTTTAACATAAGTTTCATTGCAAAATTTTAATTGTCCTAACAGAAATGAAACCAGAAATACTGAAGGCGGGTAAGGTACACGTGGTGATCCCAGCTTGCGAGATGACGCATACCCTGGAGCGACACGGTACAGTTTTAGGACAACTGTGATCAACAAAGTGCGTGCGTGCCACAGCTTCTGGACTACATACCATAAGTCGATTGTACCAGCCAATCAGAAATCGTGCGACCCAGACAGAAGCTGAACAACGGCAGAAAGACTAGAACGCGATTGGTACAGGCCCGGATGACCAATGAGCTTGTTTTGTACATATTATTTGATCCCCCTGATTTCTTCCAATAAACGAACTACTCCGCCTGTGGCCTTTTCGTCGCGTCTTGTGGGATACGTGGGATATTGTCGTACTAAGACCAGTGTGGTACAGTCCTTACGTGACGTCCGTGATTGTTTATCAGTGATTCGTATTCTGTGTTCATTGCATAGTACTACTAGGATTACTGCAGTTACTACAATTAATACAGTAAGGCATTGCGTATTCTAGGCTGACTACCATGACAGGAATTGGATCCCAACACAGACAGAGAATAGAAAATGACAGTTATTTGTGCTCTGAGACCAAATTATACCACATTTTTCTGAAGAATATATTTTGAGAATCAGTAAACTTAGAAAAACGCAACTAAATTTATGAACGTTTGATTCATTGGTTGCCTAAATTCCAGGGAGCAGATCACATAGGTTTATTCAAAACATTCATTGATATGTCTAGATGTCATTCATAGAGGCACTTTTCTATTGGTCGGAAGGAATTCCTCGACAAATTTCATAAATTTCAAGAAGTGTTCAAATTTAAAACAATTTCAATCAAACAATTTCATTAACTCACAATCATGCCGTTACAGTTTGTACGAAGGGAAAACCTAAGACGCTTTGTCGGCCTCTGGATGGGGCTCACAGGAAGTAATTGGGAATTCAGGGAAGCTATTCTATCTTCCAATGCTGAGATTTTAGTGTTTGCCTTTTCCTCAGCAGCCAATAATAACTTCTCATATCTGTTCGAGATGCTTATTATACATTTGATAACAGGGGTATTGCAAGCAATCCGTACAAAATCAAAACCATTCCGGTTGTGCAGCCATCGGTTTTACCTGCTTGCTGGATAGTTTCGCGCACGAGGGGCGTGAAAGCGTTTCAGACAATAGGTGCATGATATTCCTGCCTTGATATCTTTGCCGCAGCCTGTCGAATCACAGATTCCGAAAACCTGTGACCAATGTTGTGTCATTTATTGGTATACTCCGTCGTCCCATTGCGATTCAGTGAACGGTGAGATGAGGAACAGTTGACTAAGGTCAAGTGGAGTGACTTCGAAATGACCGGGTCAATCAAGCGAGGTGTGTAGAACGATGGCCGGGGTTGTCAGGACGTATCGATCGTCGTGACTGCGTTGGAAGGACGGACACACGTGCAGGCGTGATTGCAAATGGCACAGAACTGAATGAAACAAAATATGTCCGTAGCTCTCTTGGAAATGCACAACGAAAGGTGCATAGAAGCTCATTGAATAGAGTGTTCATTTATCTTCAAAATGGTACCACAATGGATGCACTGCGCATAGAATAAATCACCGTTGCGCGCGTGAATAGCACAGAAAGTTCGGTTTGGGCAACCGAACGGCAGAACAGTGTCATACTTGATGTGTATATCCAAGAGATTAGTATCACGAGATGGAGCTCACAGAACTGAGTCGAATGAGTGTCAACTGGATGTTGTACGATGGGAATTGGCAGAAAATTTTCACTAAAACCGAGAGTGCACAAACTGATCGACCGCACCGCAGATGACCACACAGGCATGTGTGTGGGGGCAGGGGGGAGGGGTGGGTTCGCGAACCCAAGGTAGATGGAGGGCTTGGATGAGACGCTTCTGAGCTCCTCGTTCTGGAGTAAGCTGTTTAATACACATGGCCTAGGCTATGGCCAATGTACGCATTCTAACATACTTGGACCGGTTCGGGAGAATCTGAAAAATAATGCGGAATGTTTCACTTGGGTTAACACGCTGGCCAGTGTCTACCAAGTGAGCGAGAAACGCACTTGTTTTAGATCCGGAACGACCTTGACTCAGCCAGCCCCGATAGTGTTCTTTCATGCTGATAGATAACTGCCGTGTGATCGACGTAGAGTGTGTCACAAATGCATCTGAACGAGTAGACACTCACTGAAGCAGTCAACATCGGTAGTTTTGCTTTATTCCGTATGGGTATCGGTGGCGACCTTCTGAAACACCAGCTTAGGTATGCGGTGTTAAATGTGGCTTTTACCGCTTCATTCATTCTCATTATGAGGGTTTCAGCGACAACTTCGCCCTTAAAAGGAAGACCAACGAACAGGTCCTTCTTCTTCACCCTATCAGTATTTACTTT